GTAGGCAAGCTAGCATTTAACTTGCTGTATGCAATATGCACCCAAGAGATGTTGTTTCTTTCTCAAATGTATCTATATTTGATATACAAAAACGAATAAAGAAATGATGTTTACCTACTAGGGAAAACCCCCCAAAAAAAAAAAAAAAAAAATATAAGGTTGAATCAATATTTTATAATCTGACTTTTAAAGTATTAACCACTGTGTTATAAATTAATAGGTTCTAAGAGATGTCATTTTTTTTATAATATATATAACTTTATAAGTATAATATATAAATAAAAAACAATTCAACTATTACATCAATTTTTTTTATATTCTCCTAAGTCAGTCAGCAATCTTCAAGACTGTCTCAAGACCTGTATTAGAGCTTATTCACAGTGCCAATAAAAAACTTAAAGAAAGTGATCAATTGAAATTCAGAAGTCTGTCAGTGTTCATAACCAAACTTATTGCAAATTAGCTACCTACAAGAATCAAACTTCACAAAAGATATCCAAGTCTATATGAAAGTAACCTCTGTTCATGATGCAAAGTGTACCCAAAGGACCAAGCACACATCTTCCTATGCAATCATGCCTAATAGACAATTGGGAAAAAAAAAGAAAAACTTATAGATTATCTAAACAAAAACTCATATCAAGCAAATACCAAAAACAGACCTCTACCAATATTCGTATTACTATCAACACTGAATATAATGAATCTTGCATTTGGAAACCTACAATCGCCCCTGAACAAAATTCAAAACAACAAAGGAGACATGTCAAACAAGACACTTAAAATTCTTTACAAAGTCTGAAAAGAGTAATCAGTGACAGCCACCACATTACTAATCTTAGGAGTTAAATGGAAAAAAACTTCAGTCACAAATCCCAATCATAGCACCAAAAACAATAGTATGACTTTTTATAAAATATTTAATACATTAGCGACCAACAATAACTTAACTGATAAAAATATTTTTACTTTCACAATTGTATTATCATTTTGAATAGGCATTAGCCATTCAACACTGCTAGCATATACCTATCTACTTGGTATAAGCTGGTATTAACAGAAAGTTGCAATAGGCTAAGATTAATTTACTCATATAAAGATCTTTAATATAATGTCTATAAACTCTCATTTAATAAAAGTTTCGCATTTAATGTCTATTTGTGATTTAAAAAAATAAATAAATAAATAATATAACTTATGGATCTATAGTATAATAATAATGCTTTATAGATTATCAGAAAAAGATTTAAAGTTCAAATCTATTTGATTACAAAAATTTATTATCTTTATAATTAATTAACTAACTTTCAATATACTGTATATTATATTTAATTAATCAAAAAATTAATTTCAAATTCAATTAAGCTATATAAGAATTTGATCTTTAATCTTTCTAACAATTATAAGCTAAAAAAAGATTAAAACAAGAAAAATTATATAAGAAAAGGCTTCTGATCTAACTTTTATTTAAGCTTACACCTGCTTTTAATATGATAAACTTTGTAATAAGAAATATATTAATTGAATTAGATTACTTTAAAAAAATTTATTGCAAAAATATAAATGTATAAATAATACTAAGCAATTTTATAAAAGTTACATCCTACCTGACATATATATTTCTAGATTTGATAGTTTAAGCCAATTAATTTAGAAATTGTACCTTACTTAATTATCTAACTCATAAATTTGATAGTATATATCAACTATAAAAATAACTTTTGGAGCATTTATTAGAAAATATAAAGAGCTATAACTATAGGTTCTATAGCTGTATAAACTGCTGGTGCAAATATAATAAGAAATCCAGTAATAATAAATATATAAAAAATAAAGATTAATATAAGTATAAAATTAGGATATAAATATATTTATAAAATATAAGTTGATATTCTGATAAAATAGAATAAGTAGTATTAATTAAGTAGCAATAGTTAATAGGCTGTTTATATATTGGATAATATGATCTTTATTAATTAATAAAAAATGGTACATATATTGTATTTAGTTTTTTTAAAAAAATAATACATATATTGTACTTAGTTTTTTAAAAAAAATACAAATAAAGAAATAATGTTTACTTATTGAAAAAATTTTTTAAAAAAAAAATCTTTATTTAAAATTTTTTTGATATTTAAAAAATAAATATTTCAAAATATTTAAACTTTTATAAAATTTAAATTAAATAATTGTTAAATTTAATTACATATATTATAATTATTATATTTGATTTTAATATTGATAATGATTTTTGTCTTGTTTTTATTGTAAACAAATAATTTATTATGAAAAATTAACAAGTTATTTGAAAAAAAAATTTATTTTCTATTTAAAATTAATAATAAATATATTTATATTTATATAACAAGTATATTAAAAACAATGAAATTATAAATAAATTGATAATCAATTAATTTAATTATAAAAATAATCTAAGCAATTAAAAAATAGAAATTAATTTAATTTAATTTAATTATTATTTCTAAAAAAAAACAGTTGTTTCAAAAAAGTTATTACGTAATAATAAAAATTTAAATACGTAATTAATTTTTTAAAAACTTTTTATATTAATATAATATAAAATTAAATTAATTAAATTAATATTGATTATAAAATTTAATATAGTATAAAAATCAAATCAAATCAAATTTTGATTTTAAAATATTTTTTAATTAGATAATATTTTTTTCTTTAATATTTAGGTTATTTAAAATGATAATAGAGAAGATATAAATCATTTTTTGAAATTTTTAAAATATTTCAAAATTAATCAAGTTTATATAAAACATGTAATTTTTTTCAAAGTACTTTAATGAAATAAAAATTTCGAGATATTTTATTTCAAAATAATTTGAAATACTTTATTTATTAAAATTTTTGATAAATATTTACATTTTAAAATATAATGTATTTATTATATAATTAAATTATTCAAAAAAATTTTGAATAATTTATGAAAAATAATTAACAAACAATTAATTTTTGATGTGATGATTAGCATGATTAATAAACATGAACATGTTTATTTATTTTTAATGCTAGGTCACAAATTTGATTTGAAGGTAAAATTTAATTGTAAAAACTTCTTTAATATTAATAAAAGTTATTAAATTAGATGCAATATACAGTATACATGTATACAGGAATTATTATTTTATAATAAAAATAAAAAAGAAAGCAACAAACAATATCTTTAAATGTAAGGTACAGTATATTGGTGGATGTCTTATCTAATTCAATACCGCATATACAGTAAATAAATAATCCTTCGCCATACTCCGGACCAATTAATTTTCTTTTTGTATAATTTTATTTAAACAATTCTTTTTGTTAATTCATTTTCCAGATCTTCACATTATTTTTTAATTATGCTTGACTCTTTGTGTTTTTTAGTCAGCAACATCACACTTTGTTCTTTGTGATGATAATGAATGCCATTTGTAAATAATCGACGAAAACGAGTAACCTTACGTGATACATGCATGAACGATTTTCTATTTATTTGTACATAATCATGTAACTTAGAATCAACTTTCCGTTAAAATGACTCAGAAAACTCATAAAGTTGGTAGTTTAGGAGCTGATATATTGGATGCCACCAAGGGGACTCTAGGTGTTGTTGGAAATGTGGTTCAACCTTTCTTGCCTCTGATCACGGCTCTGACTATTATAATTACTGAAACAATTGAGATTTACGAAAATGCCAAGTATAATAAAAATATCTGTAGCTCTCTAATGGACCGTGTCATTGCTGCTGAGGCGGCTATTAAAACTTTAGAGAGGAGGAAAGAATATAACGAGGAGAATTTTCGTAGCGAAGAATACTACAAAACTTTCATACGTTTTGTGGATGTAATGACCAAGATAAAGAGTTACATTAATGATGTTTCTACCCTTACGGGGTTTAAAAAGTTTGCAACCGCTAATTCTGCTAGAAAGAAGTTTAATTTGCTAATCGCTGAATTCGAAACTACCATGAGTGATTTGCATTTTGCCACGACTATCGTTAACCAAGAGCAAAGTAGAATTGATGCAGAGCGTCTCGACTGTGACCTTAAGAATATGTCAAAGGTGAGTTATTTTATTGGTATTCAATCAAACACTTTTCACGAATTTGAGTTAATTAGAAATTATTTCTTTAGTTTATGGAAACTATTGGTAATGGTGTTATTGATGCTAATAATAATATTAACGTCATTCTTGAAGAAGTTTTAAGTATAAAACAACAAATAACTAATCTGGAGGCTAATAAAAAGGAGACTAATAAAAAGGAGAAACAAAATTTCGTTGCCAAGAATCTGAAAGTGAACCATATAGACCCAACTAAGTTAAAAGAACCTCTGGTTAGAAAGGAAACCGACAGACGAGGTCAGACTGTTAAGAAAATGTATGAAGTAATGGATGTTGCTTGTAAACACGTGGAGATTATAGAGGATAACACTCCAGATAGTCAAGTAATTCAGAGAGAACTTGCTATATTAGGAAAATTAAAAGATTCTCCTAATATTATCAAATTTTTTGGTCTTTCAAGAATATCCGACTACCAGGTTATGGTCCTTGAATGGGCAGAGCTTGGTACACTTAAAGAATTATATGAAAAATATGATATTGAATGGCGCCAAAAGGTTCCAATAGCACTTGACATCTGTCGCGGTCTCGTGTTCTTGCATACTTGTGAAATCCTTCATCATGATATTAGATGCGCCAATATTCTAGTAAGAGTTGCATGTGTGTTTCATAATATTAGACATCATCATTAATAGCTATTAAAATAGATGACATCACGACTCGAAGCAAAAATAGCGAATTTTAAATATTCTCGTCACGATAAATCGAAAACAACGGAGGTGAAAGGTTTAACGGAAGTGGTTCGTTGGATGTCACCGGAAAAGTTGGCCGAAACACAACAGAAACCGGTGCGTTATACATTCCAATGTGAAATATATAGGTAATTGAAGTTGTTATTATAAACAATTACTGTACCGTACTTTATTCTAATGCTGTGTTTCTTAAATTAGTTTTGGCATGCTTCTTTGGGAACTCGCGTTTGAAAAACCCCCATATAAAAACATCGATGTGCATAAGATTAAGGAGCACGTTTTAAATGGTGGTCGAGAAAGGATTTCTTGGGGTAAGGGTTCTCCAGATGTCCAAAAGATTCAGAAAAAATTCGAAAAAATCATAATTTCAGGTAATATGACACCTTATACCTTTACCTGGTCCGTGCCTTACAAGAATTTCCCAAATCTAACTACCCTCTTATCCATGCATTAAGCCTGGCAACAAGATGTATGTCTTAGAGCCTCTCTTCAGGAAATCTTCTTAAAACTGTCTAAGCTGTCCTCAGAATATATGGAACCAGGCTCTGCCTTCCAACTACTCCCTGATGGGACAATAGATTTAGACGGGTCCAAATTCAAAAATCCATCCAAGAACGAGAATGTCGAAGAGGTAATGGAGCTTCCAGAAATTGGTGATTTTAGCTTACCAACGATCATGCCCCTCGAAGAAGGAATCAAGGCACATAAGAAGGGAGAACGAAACGTTGCTTGGAAATGTTTCGATGATCATTCTAATTTAGGAAATACAGCCGCGAAATATTGGTTGGGCTATTACTTACACGAAGGATATCCTTCTGGATTCAGAGATCTCACTAGGGCACATCAATTATTCAAAGAAGCAGCTGATGACGGGATTCCCGATGCTCAATTGCGTTATGCACTTTCGTTACTCAGTACGCCAGGAGTTAAGTTTGACAGAACGATGTTTACCGAATACCTTACGAAGGCTGCAGATGCTGGAAACGCGTCGGCTCAGTATAATTTGGGCGATATGTACCTAAATGGGAAATTACTTTGTCCAATAGATAAAGCAACTGGAATGAAATACATAAGATTAGCTGCTATTAAGAATCATCCTGAAGCCATAAAACTTCTCGCAAAGGAAGGAAATAATTTATAGAGCATTGAGAAGAAAAAAAAGAATTGTAACAATTTGAATATTTATTATCATTCATGAAAACGAACTCGAAAGAGTTATTTCTTATAAATCCGAGTTTCTGCTATCGATCCTCCCTTTCAAGGATGCTTATTTAAATAAAAGGTTAAATCTGTATGCGAAACATGAAAAGTCATCATGAGATTGACACTTTAATTGGTAGATGATAAATTCTATAGCAATTACCAACGTGTTTGATATCTAATTTCGCAGCAATTTTCGTTTTTAAAAATATTTTAGTAAAAAAAATTATAATAATAAAATGAAAAATCGATGAATTGTTTTAAGTTGGAATCTAAGTTAAATGAATTTTTTCAAATAATTTCTATATTTATAAAAAAACAAAATATATATTTAAAAAAAAGGTAATACTGTATAATATAATAATATAAAATAGATTAAAGGAAAAAACAACACAAAAACAATTTGTTATTTATTTAATTAACTTGATTATTCTTTTATTTAAGAAAATCAATTGGGTTTTCATCAATTATACAGTCTCTTATTTATTGTTTGATTAAATCATCAATTATTTAATAAAAATTGGTTGGCAAGTATTAACTTTTTAAAAAAGTATTTTTTTAAAAAAAAATTTAATGAAATAGTTTTTATATGTTATTATTATATTTTTTAAAAAAAAATTTTTTTTATTAAAAATAATATTTATTATGTATTTATTATATATTTGTTGTTTTTTTGTTTTTTTATGAAAACAAAAACCATATTTAATCTAAATAAATAAATAAATGTAATAATAAATAAATAAATATCATATATTATTATGACCTATTATCAAAATAAAATAAATTTTAAAAATATGTTTAATCAAAAAATTAAAAAACAAAATTATTTTAAAAAAAAATTTTTTTTTGAAATCATAACAATTTTGAATTTTTGGATTTGTCATTTTTTTTAAAAAAAATATCATTATCCTTAATTAAAACAATGATGGTTAAAATTAAATTGAAAAAAATTTCAAATGAAAAAATCCATATTTTAAATTAAGTAATAACCAATTATGAATTAAATAAAATGTGTTAAAATTCTATACAAGCCTATGTGAATTCAAAAGTCAAAACCATGATTTAAACGCATGCAACTAATTTATTTTTTAATATATAGAATTTTCTTTATCTGTCTATATACAGTATGTCGACAACTTAAAAAAAACGTGTGATTACTATTTGCACTACAATTAATTTGGAACTTCGACAAGGATTTTCCTTTTTCTCTTTGTGTTCGGGACTCGACACTCGTGATGGAAATACTGTAAAGAAAAAAAAGTAAAAAAAGAATGTTTTCTGTTTATTATTATTATCACAGTATTTGTATACGGTTAACTAATTTGACTTTTTGTACTGTAATTGGCCTCTTCGTCCTACGTCTGATGCAGGAATGTACAAAGTTTCACCGGAGAACTTCTGGAAATGGTTTATTTTGTAAACCATTGCCATAATATTGAAAAAAGAATGTCTTTGTGCATAGAAAATAACATTTAGAGTAATGTTCGGTACTACGTGATATCTGTATAAAGGACGCGAAATTCCGAAACTAGCTTTTGAAAGGAATGCGAATTAACTAACCACTCACATAAAACGTCCACCAAGGTTTGGTTTTATGTGAGCGGTCATTTTCCACTACTTAAAATCTATCTGGTCATAGAACTAACAAAACTACTTTGAGTAAACACGTCGAACCCAGGATTACAGGAAAAAGCTCATTATGTTTCTCGATAATGTTAAACGTAAATTTAAAAGGTTAAAAGGAAAATTCAACAAAACCAATGATTCCATCATTGCAGAGAACAATGAGCATGAAGATAATAATGAGCATGAAGATGCCGGTAGCAACGACGTCTTGGAAATCGAAAGCAGAGATATTAATTTGCGCAAATACGATTCTAGCCAAAACTCAAAAGATGATGTTGGTCCATCGTCAACCGCATTAAGAGAGAATATTAGTGATCTGGAAAAAAGAGTCGTGGAGATTCAAGAAATTTTAAAGAGGACGGATATTTCCGGCGATCTCAAATCCTTGTCAGACGCTCTAAGAAAAAACACAGAGAACATCGGTGCGTTGGAAAAGAGAGTCGGAAAGATTGAAGTCTTGGCACAAAAAGTCACCGAGATCGATGAAGTTTTGAAGAAGAATAATACTTCCGGCGATCTCAATTCCTTGTCAGACGCCCTAAGAAAAAACACAGAGAGTATCGATGTTTTGGAAAAGAGAGTCGGAAAGATTGAAGTCTTGTCGCAAAAAGTCACCGAAATCGATGAGGTTTTAAAGAAGATTGATAACTCTGACGATCCCAATTCCTTCGCCAATTCGAGCAACAATTCTGATTCTTTGTCAGACGCCCTAAGAAAAAACACAGAAAGTGTCGGTGCTTTGGAAAAGAGAGTCGGAAAGATTGAAGTCTTGTCACAAAAAGTCACCGAGATCGATGAAGCTTTGAAGAAGAATACTTCTGGCGATCTCAATTCCTTGTCAGACGCCCTAAGAAAAAACACAGAAAGTGTCGGTGTTTTGGAAAAGAGAGTCGGAAAGATTGAAGTCTTGTCACAAAAAGTCACCGAGATCGATGAAGTTTTGAAGAAGAATACTTCCGGCGATCTCAATTCCTTGTCAGACGCCCTAAGAAAAAACACAGAAAGTGTCGGTGTTTTGGAAAAGAGAGTCGGACAGATTGAAGTCTTGTCACAAAAAGTCACCGAAATTGATGAGGTTTTAAAGAAGATCGATGCCTCCGGCAATCGCAGCACCGCCGATTCAGGCATCAACCCTTTAATAAAGAAGACACCCATTGATTCCAACCGCGATGATTCTTCAGTCTGTCAACGATGTCATTCTACTAAACTTGATGGCGAATGGTGCTCCTCCTGTGATCCTCAATATTTTATTGATAATTTTTCTAGCTGGACTAGTGGTAACTCCGACGTTAACCGTTTTATTCAAAACACCCAACGTAATGCCTCCAACAAATTTAATTTCTTGGAGTGGATTCCCTATAAAAGTCTTAAAGACATCAAGCTCATAGGTAGCGGTGGTTTTGGAACGATTTATTCCGCAAAGTGGATTGACGGGCCAAGATCGAAGTGGTTGGCAGAGACCAAAGAATGGGGAAGATATGCAAATGTCTTGGTGGCCTTAAAAAGTATTACACTTAAAGATTATGCTACACTTTTTGATGAGGTTAGTAAGTGATTCAATGTAAGGAGGTGAATAATGCAATGTACGATACGTACGTATATTAATATATAATGTATGCATTCATTTTGTGTTCTTGATTTCCAGTTGCAATGTTATCTGACCTCAAATAAGAATGTTCTGGGCCGTATTAACACGCTTCGTATCTATGGAATGACGCAAAACCCCGATGAACCTGAAAATTACATGATGGTCATGCTACTAGCCGATGATGGTGACTTGAATAAGTATATAACCAAAAAATTTTCCGAGTTAACCTACTTTAAAAAGCTCGAAATACTCTTTGATATAATCACCGGATTATTGCAAATTCATGAAACTGGCCTTGTGCATCGGGATTTGCATCGCGGAAATGTCTTGTGTCAACGGTTTGTAAAACTAGATGAAGGAAGGGATGAGTATAGATTTGTGATCGGAGATTTAGGGTTAACTCAAAAGCCGTCACCTGGATCCGACACTTTTTGTGGTGTGATGCCCTATTGTGCACCTGAAGTTATAGAATCTGCGACCTTTAGTGAAGCTTCGGATATTTACAGTTTTGGAATACTAATGTGGGAATTGGCAGCCGGTGTACGAGCATTTGATACACACAATCACGACGAAACTCTAGCCACTCGTATAATTTTCGGGTTGAGACCGAAGGAGATACCAGATATTCCGAGATCTTACGATATTCTAATGAAAAAATGTTGGGAACCCAAACCTGACAATAGACCAAGTGCTCGTGAAATTTATGTAACGATTGGAATATGGTTGCAGAAGTTAAATTTTGCACAACACACAGGAATCTCTCAAGAGTTTCTAGCAGCAGATAAAAAACGATTGGTTGAGTTATCATTACACTCGGGTGAAAGTTACCGCAGCAAGATTTACCACACAGTAAAGCCTAAGGGATTTTCTCCAATCGCAAATGGTATGTATTTATTATAGTGATTGACTCGTTTTTATATACTCATATCGAGTTCATTCATTGATGAATTTTATTCTATTTTAGAAAACGTACCGGCATCACACCCAAGGTCGGTTGATTATGCTGCTGATGATGATGATAGCTGGGTGGGAGATGATCTATAAATATTTAACATTTCCATTTCCTTTCTCTATAACATACTCAAATTCCATTCATATTTTTTCATATACCTCATCCTCGTTTCACGTTTCATTGTATATTATGGTTTGGAGTTGATAGAATTATCGATTCAATTATTATTTATTTACCAAGAGACCAACACCTTGCATATTTTCTATACAGTACGTAGTGGGTTCCCTGCGTTATCTATCCCCTTTTCATTTTTCTTTCATTACCACAATTTGTCTCTTATATCGCATCTCAAATAAAGCATCGACCCCACAGGGGTCGTTATAATACTAAAGCGTGATTCTGTGTGACTATAAAAATTTAAAAATCTGAGAATACAAAGTCCGATTATAAGGGGATTTAATTTTTTATGCGGGTAATAAAATAAAAATATGCGGCAATTAAATTTTAAACTTTTTTTATAAGTTTCGGGTTTGGTGATTTTTTTTTTTTCGATTTGCTTTTTTTTTTGATTTGTTTTTTTTTTTTCGATTTTTTTTTTTTTCGATTTTTTTTTTTTTTTTTTTTTTTTTTTTTTTTTTTTTTTTTTTTTTTTTTTTTTTTTTTTTTTTTTTTTTTTTTTT